ATCTCAGCCTTGTAAAATGTAGTATAGGTAGAGATAAAACGAACGGCAAATAAAACCTGATCAGTAACCTTTTTAACCTTACGTATATTTTCATCTCCGCAAGAAAGTATTTCGGCAGCAATTTGCATTTCCCCAAAATCAAATCTGGGGTCAACGTTTTGTAAGGTTTTATCCTGTCAAAGAAAACCTATTTAAGCAATCAAAGATATTGACCGGCAAACAATAAAATGAAACACATACTTCTACAGCAATCATAGATATTGTTCCTTTAGTTACCACAAAGTCGGGTTTTGCCGAAACATAAGGCTTATTGAAGATATGTAGTTTACATGGTAGTTGTTGTCTGATTTTACAGAAAGAAAATTAGGAAGCCATTAAGATAATATGGCACAGACTTTCTCAAATTACTCACGCTATCTCCAAAGGATAATTATTCAGTCGGGCAATACGAAGCAGATCAGCAACTAAGTTATCAGTGCGGGACTCGGGTATTCCTGGTGGGTTTCTCGTGACGATATGCAGTTTATTAAAGAATGTTTGAACGGCATCATCCGAAAAATCACTTATTTCTTGAACTTTGAATCCTTCATTGCTGAGCATGTCTCTGTTTATTTTAGGGCAAACGTACTGTTCTGGAAATTTTTCGATTTTTTCGTTGGGAATAACGTGGTCTTTGGCTGCCGGTTGAAACCTCACTTTCAGTGCGTTTAAATCATCTTCATTAAATTTATGTGCTTGAGTATTGAGCTGTTGATTAAGCTTGTGTCTGACTTGAATTCGTGATCCCTTAAGAGTGGAAAATATTTGGCGTATCCAGGCATGAAAATCGATTATCGAGAATCATGTGCAAAATGTAATTTGTATAGTAACTGCAAATTGCATTTTATTATCACCTTCAAAGATTCGAACACTGGCTATTTCTCACCTTTCTTCCGCCGTGTAATGATAATAAAACATGAGCAGTATACAAGCAGAAATTACGTTCATTATTGCACAATCGAAATGGAAAGGCAAATTTCATGAGTGACCAAAAATAGAAAAAAAAAAAGCAGAAAAAAAAGATACCTAATGGGTTATATATGAGAAATTAGGTTGCACGAATAACATGTGAATCAGGTTTATGATTGCGCACCAATGACCAGAATTATTACAAATAAAATTATTTTGCCGAAACGTGGGAAGAGAATTAGTCATCAGATTCACACACTCATTACCGCATTAACATTCACGAAACACGAAATAAAATATAGCAAATAATAACTTTGACTCTTCGAGTCGCCCCTAAGGGCCTGATATATATATATGTTATTACAAATAAAATTTATTTGCCGAAACGTATAAATTATTACATGAGTTGATCGGCATATTAATGATGGCGCAGTATCACGTGATAGTCACGTTGGCGTCAACTTGGGGGACACGATCTGCACCCGCAACACGTTCGATAATATTAAAGATTTGTTTAGATGAGAATTTCGAAATATAATCCGCACTATACGTCTTAATCCGTTTTATTTTTGCAAAACCTATCCCATTAACCTCTTCACCTGTTGTTGGGTGATAGGTTCGTCCAAATAATTTATAGATATTCCTAGCCTTTGCTGTCCTTTTTCGTAAGCTATCCTTTGTAAATCCCGGGAGGTGTTCTACAACTTCTTCATAAACTCGTGTTCTAGCTTGTTGGCCGTTTAATCTCATATCGCCGTCCATAATTTCTTTTACTCTTTTTTCGAAACTTTCGGCAAAGTGATACCAACTCATAATTTCATCTTGGTTGGCTTTCACAACCCGTTTCTCAGCAAGAGATGCTTTGCGATATAGCCGTGCCAGAATTTGCGCCATAGTACCCCCGCTCTCTTCGCTGTCATTTTCCTTTTCATTTTCGTCTTTGGTTGGCGTTAATAGTTCTTTCATCAGCCCTTGTAATTTATCTTGTTCACGCTCAATTCGCGGAGATGAATGTCGAGATGAAGAAGTAGAATTAACCTGCACCACGTTAGTCGTACCTTTTTCAGCTGTGCTGGCTCCGCCATTTTGGTTATCGCTGATAATTTCACTTGCTATAGGACTTGTCTCATGATCCTCTATAATAACTTGCTTTGTTTTTTCCGAAGAATTGTCTACAATCAATCCTAGTTTTATCATTTCCTCCAAATCCCCATCATCCTCATCATCATTATCTACAGTATCAGGGCTTTGCTGGAATGTTTTTTTCTCGGAGACAATAAGAGAACGAATCTTGGACACCATCTGATACTTGTCGGAAGCAAGAGTGCCTTCCTCTCTAATAACTTCGATGATTGTAGAGCAGATAGGACAGCTAGGGTGAGTAGAAGCCTGCGTATCTATACGAACAATATGTTGCTCGATACATGTTCTATGGAATATGTGTTCACAAGATAATACGACAAATGCCCGTAGTGGAAATGCTAAAATTTCTTTCCCGCATTTATGGCAAGGACTAAGTTTTGGAACTTCCTCTTCGTTGGATATTTCAGAGATGTTCTGCAAAAAATTTAATGAAAGTGCTTTTAGTTGGGAAATGTTAGCAGTGTCAGTACGTTCCTCTGATGAACTTGGCAAAGTTTCGCTAGCCATAACACAAAAAAATTTTAGCACCTTATTTATTTATTTATACACTTCGCAAAAATATGACATATCTCTCGAAATTACTACAGCCCAACTCGAAATAGCATTACGTCCGAAAGTTTATTATAGTAGAATTGATATGGAAAGGCGAGTTTCATGATCGGCGAAAAAACATGAAAATTAATAAAAAACGACGAATGAGGGTATATGTGAGAAATTGGGTCGTACAAAAATCATGTGGATCTAACCTTATTCCTGCAATAAAAAATTGGATTATCGTGGTCGCGGTTTATTATACGATTAATTTATGTGTCAAAGTTATAAAAATTCTTTACGTACCTTTGTACAATTATATACCTTGTTCTTATTTCACTTCTTTTTTGGTTTAGAATGGATAGAGCCAAGGTCTTTAAACTCATGTATCTTTTTTACTGTAACAACATCGGGTAAAATATCAGAACAATTTGAGGAAGCAAAGCTTCGAGATTCCATCTCATCTGATGTATCACTATTATCGGTCTC